GCTCAAAAGGTTGAGAAGCTTGTACTTGATTTACAAGCAGGAAGGAGCCAAGGAAGGTTTTGAAGAAAAGGTAGAATAATAAGTTATGGTCTAAGAAATATTTTGTAAACCTTTTAAGTAGACTCTAGTGTATTTTGAGCTAAAAATATGTTTATGCAAACGGGCATGTTTGATAATGTCCTACAGGTTTTATTTCCATATAGAACAACTACCAGTGAAACATGCCAATAGCGTGAGAATCAGCTTATCTATACCTGAGTCTGAAAGATTATCATTTCTGGTTTCTACAGTGACGAAGCTCATCCACGCATAGATTTCTAATCTGGAGCAAACGAAGCAGTGAGGGGTGTGCTTTCATAGCATTCCGGAGGATTTCATCGTCTCTACCACGCGAATAGCTGAGTTTTCACTGTCCGAATATTACTTTGAAATTCATTTTTTGTTGTGTTCCCAAGTCCTTTAGAACACAATACATTCTTACAAAAATATGGAGATAAATGTAAAAAGAATAGAAAAATAGCTTCATAGAGTAAAGTAAAGAAGAATTTTAAAAAGCCAAAAACAGGATTGTAGCAAATGGATACTTGGCTCTGATCAGAAGCCAGGTGTCAGTATTTTTTTCATGAGCCTCATGTGATGGCTAAAGTCCACCCAAGATAAACCTGAAAACACGAGTGACTCCGCGCACTCTCTACCAGACCTTTTATCTGAGCAAGTTTTCTAGATGGATCGCATTTCCCCCGCTTTATCTCCCGGGAAGGAAGATAACTCAGGACTGCAGAACACGCTCCCAAATATATAACAAGGCAACATTCTAAAGCAGGCAGATTATTACCTAAAAGTGGTTAGTTAAGAGTTGACCAGGAATATTTTGGGGGCACTCGAGCACACTGAAATTCAACAAGCCTTCTGTGTTCAATGACTTCATCTCATTTTTCCTTCCTGTGCGTGTGTCTGGAACGAGACCTTCCCTGCTTTATAAGTAGGGGACAGACAGTGGTCAGTGGTATTCCACTAATGTAAAGAGTCAATAAAATTCCTTTGTGCTCAATTAACTGTTATTTACTGTTTGGTCTATGGAGGAAATAAATACCAAGAGAGATTATTGTTTTATACAAATGGAAAAAAAAAAAAGTTCCAAAGAGGAGATGCTTCTTCATGTTACAAAATGTTGCCTAATAATTCCATTTGAGTTACCCCAAAACATTTAAAACATGTTCCTTTAAAAGGTTTGACTTGCAAACAAATAATTATGTAACCCAAGGTCTGTCATAGGCAGGACTGTTTAAAATTAAAAAAAAAAATCCTAATCTAAAATTCTTAACTGAGGACCAGTCAAGTTGACACACAAAACTGACCCTCAGCTACCTAGTTATTTTTTTTAATAGTTACTTGTTTTTAATTGAATATTTTGACTAATTATCACAAGCAAAGGCATATAGGGAAAAAAGTGGCATTGAGTGAAATTACTGTCAAATGTTATCTAAATTAATATTTAAATTTGAATTGATAAAAGATAGGAAAATTTACTACATCAGAAAAGTAAGTGTATAATACTAATTATCATCTGGGAACACTTGCTTTTGTCAATACGGCACAACACTGAACATTTTTTTTAAAACACGAACTTATTTCAGATTTCTTACAACTGATCAGTACTTACTATTGAATATGGAAGGTAACGGAAATAAAAAACAGCATGAGAGTGGTGATTTATCAAGTGGAAGGCATCATTCCCATGATTTTATGCTTTCTTTAAAAATTGAAGGTACAATATAGCATGAAAGTACATCCAGTATTAACATAGTAATGAATAAATAAATAAAATTAAAATTACCCATACAATTAAAATCATCAATGATTGAATAAATCTTTACAACGAAAATGACTTAGCCATTAATGATGATGTAAAAACCTTACCGATAACCGGGTCGGGTGCAATGTCGCTTCTACTCTCCTTCCATGACAGCAGGCAGTCAAGGCTGGTGAGGTCGGCAGCTTCTATGAAGTTGTTAATTGTCAGCATCATCTGATGAGCTTTTGCTATTCCATAATGAACTTTGGTTTCATCCATCAGAGGCATGTTTGTTAGCTCTGCCGTTGTGTCAAAAGCTTGCTGAAAGTATTCAGAAGCTTTGTTGTAATATCCCTAAAAAATAAGAGAAATGAGTTTTTCTTAATTTTCACTTTACCATTCCACATATCTTCCCACCTTGGCAAGTACCACACTGTTCTTTCAACAGTTATAGCAGCTCATCTTCAAGAAGAAAGTGATGGCCAGCAGGGTCTCTGTTAGAACAAGGTTCTTCTTAAACACTGTGATTACTAACCATGCAATTCTTGAAGTCAATTCACTAAGAAAGCTGTATCTGTCAGCTTGAACTTGATGAAATATAAGTTTTTTTGGATTAAAAAATGTTCAAATATTAGCATTTTCATATGGCTTAATCTAATATATGATAGCAAAAAGAAGTTTGGGAAAGAGTGAACCAATTCACATTGATATGGATGGAATTTTCTTACTTGTAGCATGGGATTCACTTAAAGAAATATTTTTAACCAACTTTAGTTAAGTCACAGTAAGAGATCATTTTCAGCTAACTTGTTATACAATCATCAGTGAAAATAGTTGTATATACCTGCTGATTTGGTGTTTAGTCATTTTCCCAGGTACACATGCCATTCTTGACTGAGAATGTGGAAATATCTGAGATTTTTAAAAAATGTGATTTTGATAGGACTAGCACAACTCAGATGATCACTCAAAGGTCTGTCTCTTCTAAGTTCTTTGCAACATTTTCAGTTACAAAAATGAAAGGTTTTTGTCGTTGTCGCTGTGGTTTTTTGGTCACCCTCACCTTTCCTCCTAAAAGCGAATTGCCTACAAATAAATAATGTTTCCCTAACTTTTAGGAAGTGTCTGGGCCAGTGCTAAGTACTTCATATATATTATGTCATCAGCTTTCATAAGTCATCCTATGAGAAAATCTTCTCATTTTACAAATGATAAAATCCAGAGAAGAGACTATCTTCTGCTGCCCCCAAGTCTTCTGAAAATCTTCATTAAAGAAAGATATCCTCAAAGAAGAATATCACTTTTAGGATTGAGCTGTACTTATAAAGACTCTAGGGAACAAGATTTCCTTTCTTCAATGACTTATAGCACTTTGGGCTTCACCCTCCC